CCCACTGACTCCCCATCCCACCCTCCAACCACTCCCCAGGGAGGGTGAGGTGTTCCATGGGGGATCATCAAAAAATCTGTCCCATCATTTGGGACAGAACCTTGGTCTTCCCCCATGTATCTAGGCTGAGGTAATATCCCTCCATGGGGAATGGGCTCCCAAAGTCCATTCATGCACAAGGGATAAATACTGGTTCCACTGCAAGAGGCCCCATAGACTGCCCAGTCCTTCTAACTGACACCCACATTCAGGGGGCCTGCTTGTTCAGGTCAGCTGCTTCTGTGGGTTTCTCCATCCTGGTCTTCACCCCTCTGCTCATCACTCCTCCCTCTCTGCAGCTGAATTCCCGGAGTTTGGCTTAGTGGTTAGCTGTGGGTGTCTGCTTCTGCTTCTATCCCCTACTGGATGAAGGCTCTAGGATGGCATAGAAAGTAGTCATCAATCTCATTATAGGGGAAAGGCATTTAAGGTAGCCTCTCCTCTATTACTTAGATTCTTAGTTGGGGTCATCCTTGTGGATCCCTGGAGATGTCTCTAGTGCCAGATTTCTCTTTAAACCTACAGTGTCTCCCTCTATTAAGGTGTCTCTTTTCTTGCTCGCCTCTCTTCTTCCCCTGACTCAGTCTTCCTGATCCCTCTTCTTCTCCCGGCCTCCTCTTCTCCCCTCCTCTTTCTCCTACCTCCCACCCCTTCCCTCCCCCACCCCATGCTCCCAATTTGCTCAGGAGATCTTGTCCCTTTCCCCTTCTCCCGGGGACCATGTGTGTCTCTCTTAGGGTCCTCCTTGTTTCCTAGCTTCTCTGGAGGTGTGGGTTGTAGGCTGGTGATCCTTTGCTCTATGTCTAGTATCCATATATGAGTGAGTACAAACCATGCTTGTCTTTCTGTGTCTGGGTTGCCTCACTTAGGATGGTTTCTGTCAGTTCCATCCATGTAACTGTGGATTTCAAGATTTCATTGTTTCTTTTCCCCCGGCTGAGTAGTACTCCATTGTGTAAATGTACAAATTTTCTTATGTGCCCATTCCCAGTGTTCAGACCTAGACTGCACTGCTTATATGACACAGTTTCTTTTCTGTCTTAGAGACTT